AACCCTTGGCAGTGCATCTGTTTTTTCACCCTGGTAAGTTCATCTCACCTGAAAAGTGAAATGGAAAGAGGTATGGATCCATAACAGAGTGTGGGCAAATGCTAATGGTTTTGCTTGGACATTCAAGTACTTAGAAAGAAGATTGGTGGAGAGGAGGTATGGAGAAGATTTAAGGTGGTAGAACTCTAAGAATGGGTACAGATTGTGAAGATATTTGTGTGCCATGTGACTATTTACCAGAGGGTATCATGGCAGAAAAAGCTCTCCAAAATCAATAAGAGTAGGCAAAATCAGGTAGACAAGATGATCCATCCGTGAAAATCAGTTAGACTCTCTTTCCTAGATGCTTCAGTGTTTGCTCAATAGATTCATGAATAAAAGGCACAGTGACAAGGAAGGAAGTTGTGCATGGATTCATAAGGGCTGGTCTGGCTTAGCTTATGCTATATATCCAATATGTCAGCAACAAAGACCAACACTGAGTCTATGATATGAACCATTGGCCAAGGAAACTGGCCAGCTGTGGGTGACAGGATGAACACACTGGATCCCTTCCATCATTGACGGGGCAGTGGTTTATCTTTATTGGACTAGAAACCTATACTGGATATGAATTTGCCTTTCTTACAATGTTTCTTCTGTTACCACTTTCTATAGATTTAATAAATGCCTTATTCATCATGATACTATCCCATATGGCCATGTTTTTGACAAAAAAAAAAAAAGTCAATTTTAAGGCAAAATAAGTGAAGCAGTAAGTCTCATGCCCACGGAATCGCTGATCTTACAATGCACCCCATCACTCAGAAGCAGGTGGCCTGCTAGACTAGAAGAATGACTTATTGAGACTCAGTTTTGGGTGTTGGCTGAATGATAATACCTCAAAGGACTTGGGTGCTGTCTTGTAAGCTGAAATACATACTTGTAACCAGTATTCAACATATAGAGCAGTTTCCTGTCTAGCCAGAATACACAGGTCTGAGAACCAAGGTAGGAAGTGGTAGTGCTTCCTCTTATTACCCCTAAGAACCCAGTTCTATAATATATAGAACCTGAAAGGGAATTGGGGGAAAAAAATAAAAAAGGAGAATCAAAGTACGTGCTTCCTCCTCCCTAACTTTGGATTCTGCCAGTTTATGTATTTTAGTTCCTAAGCACGGAATAGATCTACCAGGAGTGAAATAATCATTTCATTGAACTGGAAGCGGAGATTGCCACCTGAACTTTTGGGTCTCCCCATGCCACTGAATTAACTGGCAAAGAAGGGTACAACGAATACATCTGATTAGAAAGAGAAACCAGGGTTGTGACTACGTAATGGGAGGAAGAGGAGGTATTTCTGGAACCAAGCACTTCTCTGAACTGCATATTAGCAATTCTGTGTACATTTAGAAAAGTAAGTGGAAAACCAGCAAATCAATAAAGGAGGATCTTTAATATTTAATAGCTCCAGGCCCCATCTTCTTGATTATTATATACTTCTGTTGCAGCAGTCAAGGCACTAGGCAGGGAATAAAGCCTTAGGTCTAAATTCCAGCTCTTCCTCTAGCCATCAATGTTAAAATGGACCAGCTGTTTCACTTCCTAGACCTCGTTTTCTTTCTCTTGGACTTACTGTATATCCTATTGTTAATTCCTGTCTTCTCTGCTATTGTGAGGATCAGAGAGGATAATGAGGATAAAGGCTACACCATTGGTGTAAAGTTTTGGGCCCTTGAGGGCTGTTAATAATGATCTTGTTATTATTTGCAAAGCCCAGGGACAAATACTACTTCTATCACATACAAGCTGAAGGAGATGCCAGGGAGTTGATCGCTGAGGGATGGTGAGTGTGGCGTGCCATGGAAGCACCATTGAGAGAAAGTACCCCAGGAGGCCTGCCAGAAAAGAGGGGCCTGAGGGTTTAATGGGCCATGGCTCAGCCCCAGCCTGCCACCTCCTCCAAGGTCTCTCATGGAGGAACACAGGAGATATCAGTGTGCAGCAGGCTCAACAGGTGAACGTTGCTGGAGATGGGGTGCCCAGAGATAGGCAGAGAAATCTGGGATGGAAAGACAGGGACAGGGTGTCCAGGGACTACAAACCTGGGCCAGAGGTCAGGAAGACAGATTTAGTATGCACAGAGCAGGCACCCAGGATCCAGGTTGGAAGGTGCCTGGGATCCAGGTGCATGCCTGGGCTGTGAGACCTTTGGCCAGATATCCTGACAGGCCTGGGCAATGAATGCACTTACAGACGGGATTCAAATATTCTTGGCCAATGCTTCCTGCAGGGAGAAAAGACTGTTAACAGCAGGAACCACGGGAAACACTAGCACACTTTGTGCTCTTCCATGTTCCGGGCTCTTTGTAAGCATATCTAAGCGTTCTCTACATAAAGAAAACCCCATGAGGTCACAGATCAGGGGCAAAAGGTTCAGAGAGGGGAAAGTGACTTGCTCAATGTCACACAGCTGGAGTTAGAAGCAGGGATTGACTCCTGAGTCCACACACATAACCACTAAGGTGCACATGACATAATGAAGGTCAAGAACCCAGTTCTGCTGCGGTGTTCCCTCAGTGCGAGAGCCCTCATCCTCACCCTTAGAGGCGTGGGTCATGTGATATCTGTCCTGAACTCCCACTCTGCAAAACGCAGAGGGACACTCAGAAAATGCCTCATTGAATTGGAAACCTCTCAGAGATGATTTCCTCAAACCCCTCACTGCATGGATGAGAAAATCAAGACTCAGAGACCCACAGCCACAGAAAGAGAGTGTCAGAGCTGGCCCAGGAGGCAGGACTGTGGGCTGCCAGGCTCCAGGAGCATCCTGTGCTCTCACCCCTCACCAACTGTGACCCTGAAGGAGGGTCTGGCCTTCTCCGACCCTCAGTTTCTTCATTAGTTGAAGGGGCATAAGCACTTCCTTGCAGGGCTGTCTGATGGGGAGAGATGATGTACAGAAAGTACAGGATGACATTCGGGTCATCAGTTTTTCTGTCCTTTTCTCTCCCCCACCAGCACTGTAACTGACTCATAGACAAACCTAACTGGAAAGGTCTGCTGGACAAGTTCTCTGCCCTGGGAAACAGTGTCGTTTTAGCCCTAAGCACAGGGCTGCATTACTTAGAGATAGCAAGTAATTCAGAATAAAATAACTCTAAATTGTACAGAAAGTCCAGCCAAATTCTGATATTTCCTATGATGGGCTAGTTGAATGGTGCTTTGAAAAAATACATATTAAATTCTCTCAGGAAGTATTTTTGGTGCCTCTGCTTTGCTGGTGACCCAAGCCTAGTCTGCCTGTTGGGTAGTCCAGCACCACCTGGCTGTGAAAAGCTTCAGGCTGTCTCTCCACCAGGGGGTCTCAGCATCCATGTCTCCTTCTGCAAAGCAGTGGATACAGGAGAGAGGAGGAGGGGCAGCTGGACTGGATGGCCTCCAAGGGCCCCTCTAGCTTTGACCTTCTGAGTTTCTGTCCCTCAGACCCCCAACTCAGCCTAACGTGAGGATAGTCAGCCCATGACTCACTCTCCGAGTGCAGCAATGTCCAGGGAAGTGCAGTTGCCCGCTTTGGGTATGAGGAAAACCTAGCTACTGAATCTGTTGGGACAGGGTTCTGGTTGACTGAGGGATAACCTTCTCAACTTGGGACAAAGCAAGTTCACTCTTGCCAGGTCTTGCGACATTATTTTAAAGGAGCATTTGCGTTGCTAGACAGTGATTTAGTACCTACCGTATAGAAACCCACAGGAAAATGTGAAATTTAGTTTTGTTTGATGTTATCAACTAGAAAACAAAAAAGGGAAATAGAAACCTTTGTCTTAAAAGACTTCCCCTTGGAAACTTGGACTTCTGTATTCTTCAGGAAACATGTATAGAAGAAAGAACCCTGTCCTGGCAGTGTTTCTGGCTCCGCAGCCAGCTGTCCGTGGCACCCGGGAAAGCCCCTAGCCTTTCTGTGAGCAGCCTCTGGACTATGGGGGGTAAATTATTTGGACTTGAAAATAAACACCTTTTCCATTTTTTACATTAGTGATTTTATCCATGAGAGATATTTCATTAGAGGAATGGGAAATTAGAAGTGACTTGGGAAAAATAGTGGAAACTGCTCCCGAATCATTGGGATTAATGTGACAGTAATACAAACGTCAACAAAGACTTGTGCCGGGGGTCCTTTAGCGCAAGAGACAAGCCTAAAGTAGAGGGGGAATCAGTACTTTCCTTCAGCTCAAAATCCCTGTGTCTGTGGGTTGAAGCACTCATTCCTGGTTCCAAAAGGGGTTCTTTTGACTCGGAGCAGCTACTACAAACAGATTTCCAGGTGGTTCTTTTCTATCAATCATGCCTCCCAAGTTTTCCCAGGTTACCGTGACACTTTCTGACTAGCAAAGAAGCAGAGAAGCCTGCTGGGTGGTGGGAATGCAGTGGTCAAACAGGAGCACAGCTGAGCTGCAGCAGCCAGCAGGGAGGGAAGCTCAAAGGAGTTACAGAGACTGTCTTGGATTCTCTGTTGTTGCCCAGCTGTGGAAGAAGCCATTATCAGGAACCCAGCCTGGAATGACTCTTCCTACCAAGAGCATTCCAGTGTCACTCCCTTCACTGTAACATAACGAACAGCCCCACAGTCAGAGACAGGATACAGAGAACTCAGCTTAGATGGAAACAGCAGAACCACTGCACCAAGCAAACAAGAGAGAAAGGAGTCATTCCCTAGTTAATAATTATGATGGAAAGACAGCATGTTGCAGTAAACCTGGGAGACATCAGCCCTCCCTATTCGATGTGGTAACAAAGATGCCATTTTAAAAAAACTTAAAGCAAATGCCAAAAGAAAAAGGAACTTGGTGTTCTGGTTTAAGAGATCTGATATCCCCAAAATAATCACATGGAACATGGAAAAGTGGACTAGAAGTTCTTCCAAAGCACTTAACACAATTGCAATTAAATAATTATGTGATTCATTGCTTAATGTCTTTCTTCCGCCCCACTAAGTTGTCTACTATATATCCAGCAAATAACACATTATTTATATATTGTAGGTACTTTTTCCATACTTGATTTAAAAAGGAAAGAGAATTCTGGGATAGGATGAAGAATTTTGAGATAAGATCGAGTCCATCATCTATTTATTATATAGTGATCATTTAGTAATTCTCCTTACAGAATCTCTGGTTGTTTTGGCTTCCAGATGGGCCTGGTTCCCAGGTGTTCCCAGTACTCAGCTTCAGAGCCTCCAGGTTTAACCCACCATGGAAACAATCACCTGTAATGGATCAGGGGACTCCTCAACCATCTTCTACCTTATGGGCATCCCCTCTCTGCCAAAATGCCTCTTCCTTCCTATTTTCTTTGTCTTTCTCCTCCTCTACATGCTCATCCTGATGGGTAATGCCTTGATCCTGGTGGCTGTGGTGGCAAAGCCCAGCCTCCACAAGCCCATGTACTTCTTCCTAATCAACCTCTCCACCTTGGACATTCTTGTCACCACAACCACTGTCCCCAAGATGCTGTCCCTATTCTTGCTTGGGGACCGCTTCCTCAGCTTCCCTGCCTGCTTCCTGCAGATGTACCTGTTCCACAGCTTCTCCTGCTCAGAAGCCTTCATCCTGGTGGTCAGGGCCTATGACCGCTATGTGGCTATCTGCCACCCACTGCACTACCCTGTCCTCATGACCCCACAGACCAACACTGTCTTGGCAACCAGTGCCTGGCTCACTGCCCTCCTCCTGTCCATCCCAGCAGTAGTAAGGACCTCCCAGATGGCATTTGACAGCATTGCCTGCATCTACCACTGCTTCTGTGACCACTTGGCTGTGGTCCAGGCCTCCTGCTCTGACACTACCCCCCAGACCTTCATGGGCTTCTGCATCGCCATGGTGGTGTCCTTCCTCCCCCTTCTCCTGGTGCTTCTCTCCTATGCCCACATCTTGACCTCGGTGCTTCGCATCATCTCCCAAGAAGGACGCTCCAAAGCCTTCTCCACCTGCAGCTCCCACCTCCTGGTGGTGGGCACCTACTACTCACCCATTGCCTTAGCCTATGTGGTGTACAGGGCTGACCTGTCCCTCGACTTCCACATCATGGGCAATGTGGTATTTGCCATTCTCACACCCGTTCTCAACCCTCTCATCTACACACTGAGGAACAAGGATGTCGAAGCAGCCATCACCAAGATTGCATGTCCCCGGTAGCCAAAGAACGCTAGGAAACCCTGATTCAAAGAAATAACTTCATCTTCTCTCATAAACATCAATAACATAGAGGGGAAAAATGGCAAATTTAGAAAACCCAGTAGTCAGAACACTCAATCTCAAAATATCGTCCTAGGTAGTCCTCCACTGTAATCAAATAATTTTTTTCTTAATTCACAGAAAAAAAGAATAGGATTTTTAAATTTAATTTTAAGGTGTGAACCCCAAATTTCACAAGACTGTGAATATAATTGAGGTCACATTACCATTAATTCAAACAGTTTTGATTCTTGGAGATTCCAAGTATTTGATTAGCAAGAAACTCTGTCTTTTCCCTTGGATCTCTTCTTTCGATGTTTCTGAAAATCCCTAGCATTGCTGGCTATTGGATATGAATTATTCTTGCCCTTTTTGGTGAAATAGCAACTTAGATAGAAATATCCCTCAATAGAAAAACTCTGAAACCGCTCACATCTCAATCCTTGTTGCTTGAAAATTCACTGCCAACTGATTTTCAAAACCAGTCACACAGGAAATTTGCCTCTGCTATCTAGACCTGCGTGATGCCCTAGAAGCAGAGCATGCCCCTCACGCAGCTTATGCTCAGGCAAGCAGTGTCCCTTAGCACACCTGTTTGGGTAAAAAGCAGTAGTTATTTTAATTCTCAGCACACCATAGTTTCCCCACGGTGGCTAAGTAGAGACACCGGGTGGCTGAGTGGAGAAGTTTCTCCTTATCAGAGGTATGCTGTTCCTGGGGCCACCACCCTTTCTCAAAGTATGGTCCTAGATATTCCTCTTCCTGCCCCAAGTGGCAAGCCCAGTCTCCTTATTCCCTTCTCCTATGGCAAATTTCCTCTTGAAGACCTGTCAGGTTTGTCCATTGAGGGACATGTAGAGCAATGAAAAGTGTTAAGGGGGAACCCAGGTGACAAATATCCTCATCGTTGGCTCTTCACAGATAGCCTCATTCCAATTTCTAGAGTCCCAGTTTTTGTCAATCAAGGCAATACTGTTAACCATTCTCCCATTGCATAAGACCCAATGTAAATGGGACCTCAATGGGTGCAATTCAACAAAGGATATGATTTGTTCCTGGACTCAGCTTTCTGTGATCTCAGAGATCCTGCTATGGTCAGAAAGGGCTTCCCAAAACAGGGTGATATGAAGGCTCTGAGTTTCCTTGTTTACTGACCCTGGCAGCTGGGATTGGGACTCATGTTCTTTTATCTAAACATTACTAATTTTGCAAGACATTTATTTCCAACTCCTTGAAACTGATGTCTAAATGTCAGTGGGACCACATCCTTAAGGTCTAAAGGAGGTAGCCTAATAAGTCGCCTTGCCCTAGAGTTCCATGCACTATCAGAATTTAACCTAAGGATGTAGAGGGGAAACTTTTTTACTGTCGACTCCACCACCACCCAATAAACAATTCCCAAAGTACTCCTGTGTTACTACCAAAGTTCTGTCTGGGGTTTATCTGTTCAGAACCTCCCTTCTGGTACCAATTTCAGTTTCAGGTCAGGGCTTTGGTTTGCTGTGTCCCCAGATCATGACATCTTTTCATCTTCAGCTCCCCTTCTAGATGAACAAAGCATTAATCACATGTTAAGTGAATTGTAGTGATATGGAATCTCAGGCTAGTTCTACCCTCACTCAATATTTTCCTGTGGTTTCTCCTAAACATTTATCCGAGTAGACATGAAATCATAGCAACAACAACGTTTTTCACTTGTAGCTGTACCTGCTAATTGGTAGTCTCTCCGTATTTCCCAAGTAAGAAAAAATTGCCTCAATTTTTGTACATCAAAGGACACTATCAAGAGAGTGAAAAGACAATCCACAGAATGGGAGAAAATATTTGCCAATCACATATCTGATAATAATTAATAATTATTATTAATAAAATAATAACCAATAATCAATAATAACTATTAATAAAATAATAATCAATTATTATTATATTAACACATCATATAATAACATTATTACATTAGTATATATTATATATTATATAATATTAATATTATATTATTATAATGACATAATAATTTATAATGATACTTAATAAAATATTTAATAATAAAATTATTATTAATAAAATAAATCAGAAAATGATAAGTGTTGATAAGAATGTGGAGAAATTGGAACGCTTGTGCATTATTAGTAGGAATGTAAATGGTGCAGCTGCTATGGAAAACAATATGGCAGTTCCTCAAGATATTAAACACATAAATACCACATGACCCGGCAATTCCACTTCTGGTTATATATCCCAAAGAATTGAAAGCAGGGTCCTGAAGAGATGTTTTTATCCTTATGTTCATAGGAGCATTATTCACAATAGTCAAGAGGCAGAAACAACCTAAATATCCAATGACAGATGAATGGAAAAACAAAATGTGGTATATACACTAAATGGAATATTATTCAACCTTGAAAAGGAATGAAATTCTGATACATGCTACAACATGGATGAACCTTAAAGACATTATGCTAAAGGAAATAAGCCAGACACAAAAGGATAACTATTATATTATTTCACTTACATGAGGTGCTTAGAATAATCAAATTCGTAGGGACAGATAGTAGAACAATGGTTACTAGGAGCTGAGGGGAGAGGAGAATGGGAAGTTATTGTTTTATAAATACAGAGTTTCTGTTTGGGATGACTACAAGGTTCTGGAAATGGGTAGTGGTGATGGTTGGACAACATTGTAAATGTATTTAATGCCATTGAGCTCTACACTTAAGAATGGTTAAATGGCAAATATTATGTTATGTATATGTACCATAATTTTTTAAAGTTAAATAGTTTCAAGCCAGGCCATAGATCACAGGTCACGGATAGCCTGGGAGTTGGCTGCTTTTTGTCAGATGCTGGCTCTGGACCAAACTAGCTGTGGCCAGAGGGAAATGCATGAGTTCAATCATATGATTTAACAGGGGCACCTAATTGGTGGAAGCGACTGGGGGAGGGAGGGTAGGTGGATTGGGAAGATATCAATCAAAGGATACAAAATTTCAGCTAAGCAGGAGGAATAAGTCCAAGAGATCTATTGTACAACATGATGACTATAATTAATAACAATGTATTGTATACTTAAAAATTGAAAAAGAATAGATTTTGTGTTCTCACTACAAAAAATAAGTATTTAAGGTCATATACATGTTACTTAGTTTGATTTAGCCATTCTGCAATGTATTCATATTTCAAGACATCATGTTGTACACCATAAATATATAGAGTTTTAATTTTTTTTTTCATTTTTTTTAAATAAAAAGAGATGAGGTTTTGCCATGTTGCCTAGGCTGGTCTCTAACTCCTGGGCTCAAGTGATCTGCCCGCCTCTGCTCCACAAAGCACTAGGATTACAGGCGTGAACCACCAAGCCCAGCCAATATATACAGTTTTTGTTTATTGATTAAAATAAATAAATAAATAAATAACCTACAAAAAGAATCAGTGGAGCAGTTTGTCTTAAAAAGAAGGGTGAGAGGGAGGGAGTTTGAAGCCCTATACACTTGGTGGAGTCTTTTCACCCCTGTGAACCTGAGGTGGTGGTTGTGAAGGTATCCCTAGACACCTTGGCTCCTCTCCATCCCCACATCCTTGACCCGGGTGCAGATGTCACCATCTGATCTCTTCTGGATGAGCACAGCATTCTCTTCACAGATCTCTCTGCTTGTGTGTCCGTGTTCCCATACATAAAGTGGCCAGAGCAGGCTTTCTGACACACAGATCTGGTCATATTACCACCCTCTATGTGACTTAAAGATTCTCTCTGATCCAGTCCTGAACGATCTGTTTGGCCTCAAGTCTCGCCATTATCTCTTGCATGGCAATTCTGAATTTCTTTTCAGTTTCTCAAACACACCAAGTTCTCATTCTCTCTTCAAACTCTAGCAAACTCTTCTCTCTTCCTGAAGCACTTTTCCTCCTTGTCCATCTCACTTGCATACATTTTATCCAGGTTCCTCCAGGGAATCATCCAGGAAATTAGAGAATTAGAAGCCTGTCCTGGCTCTTAATTCTGAAATGTGAGGTAGATGTCATTCTTTACGTGTGTGTGTGTGTGTGTGTGTGTGTGTGTGTGTGTGTGTGTGTGTGTGAATACATACATACATATATATATATGCACAGAGTGGCCAAAATTCCCAGTCACCCTATGAACGAGAGAAAGAGAGAGTCTCACTATGTTGACCAGGCTGGTCTCCAGCTCCTAGTCTCAAGAAACCCTCCCACCTCAGCCCTGCAAAGTGCTAGGATTGCAGGTGTGAACCACCACAGCCAGCTGGTGCCCTGTAGCACTTTATAATTCCACCATTACGGCACTTTTTTTTTTGGACCTTAGGCGAAAAGAGTTCAGAGCATGGCATACTCATTAGTTTCTGCAGGCCCCTTGCTTGTTTTACTTATTTTCCCCTTTCAATCTCCTTCCCACATAAGCACAAAGCATAGTGTTGCTTTGTGCATGTATGTGTAATTTTAATTTACAATAAAAGAATTGTTTCATGTCTCAATTTATTTTTTACATTTTTTACTCATTCTACTTTTTAAAGATATATTTACGTTGTTATTTATATATCTAGTTTCATTAGTTTCAACTGATACATAATATTCCATAGTATGATTTGATCACATTTTACTTTTCTCCTAGTGAAGGGCGCCCAAATTGCCTCTAACTCTTTGCTACCTTTATGTCTTGATGAATGTCCTTGTGTTATGTCCCTTTACAGACCCATGGAGCATTTTCCTGAAATATATACCAAGAAGTGAAATACATTAGTCATAGGGTATGCATAACCTTTAGCTAAATACAGTCCATCCTCATCGTTTGAAGATTGTAGATTTGCCTGCTTGCTAACCCCAACACTCACAGAGCTTGCAGGGTCATTCTCGAACATGCACACAGTGGCCAAAAATCTGAGTCACCCTGTGAGCATGTTCCTAGCTGAGATCAAACATGATGACGTTCTGCCTTCGTGGTTCAGCTC